AAAGGAGCAAAGAAAGAGTGAGAAAGAGAAGGTAGAGGGAATGGGCCTCGCTGAGCCACTCTTGAAATGAGCACAACGAGAGTGAATCTTCCGCTAGAACATGGAAAAGATGCAGCGCCGGCATGATTTTTTGTCGTTTGCGCATGTCGAGAGTAGTGGAGCGAGGCCCAAAGAGAAAGAGGAAGAGAGAGAAAGCGAGAAATGTATGTTTTCTCCCTTTTTCCTTTTCTGTGCGTCTGTTCTCTTCCTGGGTTTGTTCTCTCTCCTCTTTGTCGTTTCGTTTCAGAGGCCAAATGGCGTGCAAGAGACGGCCAAAAGCGCGGGAAAGCACAAAAGCTAAGCGCGGGAAAGCACACGAGCTCAGTTCGTCACGCATCGTCCTCCCTTGTCGTTTCATTTCAAAGGGCCGGGGCTACTGTAGGTCCCACTAGCCAAGAGGATTGGATTTAAAGGCGGAATGTGGACGTATTCATGGCAAAGTGCAGGAAACCTCGACTGGACTGCTTTTTCTGCATCTACGTAGAAAACATGTCCAGATTCAGGAGCTGAATCCAATCCTCACCGCCAGTGGGACCTCGGCCTCGAAGAAGAGAAGAGAAGGGAAGGGAAGGGAAGGGAAGGGAAGCGCTGAGCTGTCAAGTAGAAGAGAGAGAAGGAGTTGAGAGGAGGATGCGTGAGGACTATGTAATAGCGCGCGAGAAGGTGCCACCTCTGCGAAATGGCGGGAAAGAGATGGCCAAAAGCGCGGGAAAGTACACAAGCTGAGTGCGACGTTCCCGCCACCATCATTAAGCATTACCTATCTGTGCTCCCCCGACGATCGACATGTGGCGTGCGATTTCAACGACCCTTCATGGGCCTCGCTCCACTACTCACCACATGCACAAAAGTCAAAAAATATGGCGATGCATCTTCCCATGTTCTAGCTGAAGATTCATTCCCTTTTCCTTGCACATTCCAAGAGTAGTGGAGCGAGCCCCCATCTCTTGCCACGTCTGCACGTGCATCCACGTCGCGCCAACTCAGCCTCGGCGACGTTCGTCATTAAAAAACCGCCTAAAGTTTGCGAATTCTCTTCCTTCGCATTTGGAATTATTTTTCAAATAATTTCAGTAGGTAATAATTTATTCATTTGAAGTTTCACTACTTTTTTGAAAAAAAAAAATTCCCTAATTTCATTGGGGTTTCTTCTCTGTACTTTCTTCTGAGTTGCACTGACCAGTCTGAGATTTTTTTATTTTATTTATTTATTTATTTTATATATTTATTTATTTTATTTATTTATTTATTTATTTATTTATTTATTTATTTATTATTTTTATTTTTTTTTGAAGAACTGTAAACTTGTATTAGCAAATCGACAGTTCGAGGCCGGAAATAGACTGGGACCTTTACCGAGCTTCAGCTGAGCTGGGTCCACTGTCCCACCTCTTTCCCAAAACCGAAATAATTTTTCGAAAAAATGCAACATGAAGCACAAGGTAAGCATCCGTAAGAAATTTCTGCAGTTCTATGAGTCTTGATGTTTGTTCGTACGGGGGCCAAGTCCAACCAGCAACGTTGAGCTTCCGCAACGCCTGAATCTGGACGAGTTTGTGGAGATGCGTGAAAATCGAGTAGAGTTTGCTCAACCACGCATAGCCGCAAACACGTCCAGATTCAGGCGTTGAGAAAATCAATGCTGGTAGTGGGACTTTAGCCCCGAATTGCTGAGATTTCGAAGCCTGCGTGCGATTGCTGTCTGGATGTGTGTCCAAGTCTCTATGTGATGATTGCTATCCCCGTGAGCTAAACTGTGTTCTCGTGCTGTTTTTTTGTGTGTCCCGGGAGGGATAGAACAGTACAGTAAACGGCAAACAGGTAGAACAACAGGGGTAGGACTGAAATTGCACACCTGACGGACTTAGTGGGAAGGCTACTGTACGACAGACAAGGACCAGGGTAGAGTTTATTACGATTTTCCAGCCATTCGGGCAGGCCTACCGTCTTCCCCCGGACATAACGCACGCTGAAAATGAACGTATACAAGCCGTCTTTCCGGTCCGATGTAGTCAAAATGAGGGTGCGTTGTGTTCGGGGGAAGACGGTAGAGAAGTCTGGTAGGCTCGGTAGCTTCCAAGGAGGTTATGAGGGTCCAGGGCCGGGGGCCAGGTCCCAGTAGCAGCGTTGAGTTCCTCAACGCCCGAATCTGGACGCGTTCGTGGAGATGTGCGGTTGAGAAAACTCAACGCGATTTCTGCACAAATCCACATATACGTCCAGATTCAGTCGTGGAGGAAACTCAACGCTGCTAGTGCGAC